GTTTGTGAGGCCGCTGAGGTAAGCTGTTGGAGCGATCCACCAGGTGTTGGGAGACCAGGGCAGCAGCCAAGGAAAACAAAAAGGGGTCTGAGATATGGCATCCAGGAGTCCCCACCATGTGCAATATGTGGGTTCCATGTTCATTAAGGACTGAGGGCAAAGGTGAGGGTGGCTAAATGTGCATGGGCAGTGCCCAAGACATGTGTCTCCCTCAGTCCAACCCACAGCCCGGAGTCCGCTTCCCTCCACAGTGTGGGAGGCCCAGGAACAGCCAGTACAACTCAGGATCAGGACTTGGAAGCAAGTAGTCTGCCCTTCCTCGTTTCCAGCTCTCCAGAATGGAAACCTGGTGTCATGAAGGGCCAGACATGGTTCTGAGCTCAGCCCAGAGGGCCCTGCCCTACTGACAGGCTCACTTCCTGCAGGGAGGGTGCTCTGGGGGAGGGCTCCCTCCAGGCTCTCCTGCAAGCCCTCTTTCCCCACCCAATATGTTCTGACCACCCCTGCATGCCACGTTCTCCACAGATGGAACCTCTCCTGATACCTTAGGTGCCATGGCCTTCCGGGCTCTTCTGCTTACTCCTCCAGGTTGGGGGCCTCCTGAGGCAGACACCAGGTCTGCACATGCTGTGTCCCCAGGGTGTGGCCTGAACACCATGATTTTGCTCTCTGAAAAATCTTGACAAATAATATTCTCTCTCCTAATTTCATTAGCTTTATATCCAGAAACAAAGGTTTACAGTCACAAGGCAGAATCCGGCCCATCCTTGGGGCTGCTATTCACAAAACCATTGCTGTAGATGTAGCATGTTCTCTAGAACAGAGAAATGCCTTGTTCTAACAAAAATGGTAAGACAATGTTTGAAAACAGGCAAGAAAGTGACTTGAGAAAGAAACCCATTTTCTAACAGGCATGAAGATTCTGAATGGGGTAAGAGTGGCCCTGGCCACACAGAGGAAGCTGGCCAACAGAACTTGAAAAGCTGGATTAGACAGGGCATATGCCCTCTAACTGGTCATCAGTTACCACTACTCCTTACTGTCTTACACGCTTACCTGCTTTTTATTCCTGTGATTACATGGATAACCTCTGAAGGCATGAGTCCACAACACTGCAATATGATACAATGCTTCAAAAGGAATCCTTTCCATCTTTGGGAAGCAAATGTTTGCAAGGTTCTTTGTTAAGCTGGATAGAAATCTTCATAGCTTCTCCCTACCCATCTTATTTCTGGGTACCACAGGTCCTATAGCACAGATACAGCCTTGCCCTAAAGCACACTGTCTGACCTATTTGAATTCTACCTTCAGAGTCTCTCTGAGCCCTTCTCTTTTCCACATTAATTTAGCGTGAAGTCTTCCTTCAACTGTTTCATAAGACATTGAGTCCCCTCACTGTAATCAGAATGCACCTTATTTCTTTAAAGAGGAACATCCATAAGGCAAAAAATACTGTAGGCCTGGCCTAATCCTTTGCAATTCAGGATGCAATCCAAAACCCAGCTGCACCAGCATCCTTGGGAACTCATTACAAATGCAGAACCTCAAGCCCACTGCAGACCTACCCAATCAAGATTCCCAGGTGACTCACACACACAACCTACTCAGAGGAGAACCGTCTTCACCTTATGTAGCATAAGTCTACATGAGCTTTTGAAGGTTATTATGATATCCTATTGGCCTTGTTTCCTCCTATCAGACATACCTGCTTTTTTCTACCCTTACTGCTAAGCTGCATCTTATATATTGTTGTTTTTTTTTAAATATTTTTTAGTTTTAGGTGGATACAATATTTTATTTTTACGTGGTGCTGAAGATGGAACCCAGTGCCTCCCACGTGCTAGATGAGCACTCTACCACTTGAGCCACAACCTCAGCCCCATTATTGTTTTATTGAAGCATTTAACAGTCTTATTACATTTTGGTGAGTTCTGCATGTGGCTACAACTAAGCTCTGAAGGGGCAAAACACATCACGTTAATCTGTCTTTGATGTCAAGCAAAGACCCCAGTATGTCATAGTTGCTTGTGCAAGAAGTAATCAAAAACTAGAGACACTGAAATGACAGAGAAAATCAACATATCCAGGTATGGCATGATCCAGGGCTCAAGCACAGTGGCAGGGATTTGGACTCTTGACCCCCATCCTTTGGCATCAGCCCTGTCCCTGGGGAGGCTCTCTCTCTGCAGCCTCACACTGGCTGCCAACATTGCTCAGAGCTACATGTTTTTTTATTCTAGTCCAGTGGGTATAGTGTTCTGGAAACTTCTGTGAGAAAAGCTTTTTCCTTTTCTGTTTCAGAAACCTCAGCAAATTTCTCCTCTGGTTTCATTAGCTCTGATGGACTGATCAGCTCAACTCTGGGCCAACCACTGAGGTGAGGGGAGAATATCACCTAATATGCTGAAACCAGTAAGGATCCACTCTCAGAGCAACGAGTGGCCAAAAATGGAGAAGGAGGGCTCCACCAACAATTCGGGAAACTGATGTTGGGAGGAGTCGTGACATGGGCACCAGGAGGCAGCGGATGTCTGCCCTGATGTTTAACAGCTCTGCCTCTCAGGTTCCTTTCAGTCTCACAAGTGCACAGGACACCCAGCATCTCAGCCACCACCAGTGTGGGTTATGGCCCCAAACTTCTCTGTTTTCAAAAGGTACACAATTATTATGCTCCTCTGCTTGTTTCAGTAATCAACTTTAAGGGCCTGGCCTACCTCCTCCTGGAATAATGAAGCAGTCACAGGAGCTCTTGGGCCACTCCAAAAACCACTGCAGAGCGGTCTGCCACACATAAGAGGGTGAACTTGAAAGGCAGCATCCAAACTTGGGTGGAAGACTTTTATGTTTTCCAAAAGCTCAATAAGCAGCAGAAGTGACCACAATGTGTTTGAAACTTTATAGCATGTGTCTTCAGGAGACAAAGTGCCTCAAACTACAAAGTAATCATGGGGAGACTTGTAATTTTTTAAATTAAAAACTGTAGGCAGGAGAGGTAACAGTTGAAGTAAAACAAGCACGAATTCTACTTTTTGTTTCAAAAATAAAACCCGAAGTACGAGGAAAATTGTAATAATATGGAATTTAGAAATAGGCTTTCTCTGCCTGATGTTTCTGTATGTTCATTATGCCTGCTTGCCTTGGCCCAAAAGGCTCTCAGCGAATGGCCACACTTAGCTGAGAGACCCAAGGTGGGAACAGGGAAGGGGTTCAATTTCTGACTTTAGAGGGAAGATTATCACCAGCTCCTTTGGACACACACTGCAGGTCGAGGTGGTCAGCGTGAGAGCACAGGTGGACCAATACAGGACCATGGCCAATTCTCCAGAGAACCATAAACCAGACCTGTTCAATGCCCAGGAAGGATGTCAGTGGAGCAGGGCATCTGGAGAGCAGATAGAAACAGGTCCCAGTTTCTTCCATTATACCTCAGAAGCATTTGGGGCAGCTCCTGGCTTCACCACTGACTCAAGGAGGGCTCTTAACTGTCTCCTCACTTATCCTCAGCTTCAGTTCCCTCGGAGAGAGGGGCCAATGATTCCTTTCTCACTGATTGGTGTGAAAGTAAAACTATTCATGTGACAAGTGCTAGAAACGTCCAGAACTGGCCATTCTAGAAAAGTCCACAGAGGTCATTTTTCCCCTGCCCCCAACTCGGTCCCTTTCAGTGCTCAAACTTTATAAAATACACAACTGAAGAATTCTGTTCTCATCATAGACCAGCAGCATTGATCTTGTACAATCGTATGTATGTATAAAGTCATACCTTATAGTACTGCAGTAGCTGTCCTGGGTCAGGAGAGGGAAGCTTTTCAAAGTCCTCAAGTTTTCACACAGATATAAACAACACAGAATGACCAAAAGGAACTTGGTCCCATTCCTTACTAAATATAAAACCTTGGACAAGTTAGTTCAGTAGTGGGCTTCAATCAACCACGGCATTTAAAATAGCAGCAACAACAATAAACATGTCTCCTACAAGACTGTAAAGCCTATGAAGGTTAACATCTCACTTATTCAACTTTATATTCTCCTAAAGGCCCTGGTTTGCATACGTTAGGAAGATGTTGAAAGGAAGGATAAACCGAACTGTGTGAAGGGCTTAAAAGGGTGCTAAATTATTATAAAAGATACAGAAATCCAAATAAGGAAGTTAGATCTAGTACCTAATGAGTTACAGTCAAAATGTTTAAGTCATCTTTAATTTAAAATTTTAAACTTAATTTCTTTTCTAGAGATAGATGATCTACCCAGTCTAGCACTGAGCTTCCATAATCTCTGGCAAGTTACTTATTTTGTCTCCTTAGCCACACAAGGATGTGAAAGAAGTTTTATAAAATCCCTCACAGCTCCAAAATCAAATGTCCAAAACTTCTGCACACACTGTGGCAACTTTCCTATGAGAAAGGCACCCTGCTAGGCACTGCTAGGGACACGAGAGAGAAGAAACACAGAACTGCCCTTCAATTAGCTCATGACTTATGAAACAGTAAGAGAGGGAAACGAATAGCTCTGGTTTAATACAGCAAGGGTGGTGGGCGCCTTCTAAGAGGGAGTAACATGGAGCCGTCAGCTAGCTTTGTACAGAAGTGGCATCCATTCCTGTTTCACTGTAGCAAATACAGGGTACCCATCATGCCAGGCACCATATCTGAACACAAAACACATCTACAATCAAGACAAAGAAAACTGCCTTCATGGTGCCCAACGTCTTGTGGCAGGAGACAGACAATGGGGGCGCAACAAGAGGAAACACAAAGCAGACAGAAATGAGTTCACAGTGCTACTTGCACAAAGGTCTAAGAGTAGCCGAGAAAAGATAGAAAGGTAGGATGCGGCTGTCACAGAGCTTCTGAAACGCCAAGCTGTGGAATTCAGACTTTAATGAATTCAACAAAATAACCTGACAACTCCAAGTCACTGGCTATATACTAAACTTCAGAGGATCACTGACCATGTATTCAATTATAATTTTTCTATAGTAAAAAGAAAGATGGCTGAAAGAAATTTTTAAAAAATTTAATTTAAATAAATTTATTTGTGAGAGAAAAACATCTGAACATCAGGTACAGTCTGATCCACAATGATCTAACAGGATGTTATAACTCATTCTGGAGTACTCTAATACAGTTTGTAGGGAAAATTCCATGTGGAGCATCAGCTGAACACTTATTAAAATTCATAAAGCCATCTAAGCTGAGCATAATACAATACATAATGACCATGATACAGTAATAAAAATACAATATCAAATACTCACTACTTTGTGAGTTACAAACTATAGTATAAACAATTTAGGCCCCTTTTTAAAAAATGAAAAAATATTTCTATTACAGCCTTATTTCAAGCATTTTCAGTTAGGTACAGCTTTATATATTTTCACTTAAAACAGATAGCAAAAGAATGCCTTCTTAAGTAAGTGCAGGTAAAATATGTGACTTGTTTCAATATTTGCACTCTGAAGTATACTATGACATGTGAGTTCAGATAAGAGAATGAAACTGTGTTGTGGCAAAATTCTGGCTGATGATCAAGACTTGGACGGTTTTCACATTTGGTTAAAAAATTTCACGTTGGGGAAAAAAAAAAAAGAAGTGAGGATATAAGGAACCAACATCATTCCTTTCAATGAACCAGTCCAATTCCAGAGTGGGCTTTCCGTTTTGATTTCAAAGTGTGTGGTCCCGAAGTTGAACTCCTTCCAGTCAAGGCACTGCCTGTGGCTGAGAGGCAGCACTTAGTGATGAAGCGATGGGGAGGAGAGTGGGAACTGAACTACAGAGATGGTCACTGATAAACAAGCTCCTAGATGGCCCAGGGTGGCCGGCGCTCCAACCCAGGAGGAAAACACGCTCACTGCACTGCACACATGGAGCTCCGGGGTGGGTGAACAGTTCTTGACATGGAATCCTGGCTGTAGTTTACAATATCTGCCTTCACCACCCTCTGTCATAAGAGAAAAGAGTTATTATCGGTACATCAGAAAGAGCTCCTTACAAGTATATTTTTATTTTCTGAACTTTGGTGAACCCCTGATGATAAACATCATAAAAGAAGCAGGAGTTGATACTGAAAGAATCAGTCAGAACTAATGAACAGCTGTGTTTTTGGTTTTCTTGTTTGTCTGTTTCTTTTTTTAAAAAAAGGCAATGGCAACTCAGTTATTGAGTCTTTTCTGGTTTTATAACATTAATTTGCAGTTTTCACAGACTCATAAAAATGTGACAGGTCAACATGAAAAATTAAACCCTGATCATAATTTAAAAGAATCAAGATAAATCATTTACACATACTTTAATTCATGATTTTTTACCATCTATTAAATATTTCCATAACCAGGATACTCAGCCATACCTCCTCTTAGAATGTTTACAGCGGTCTGTGTGTCAGTAAGGAGAGGTATGCTGAAGAGGACTGAGGAAGAAGGCAGAAATGTTCTGGGAAACCAAGTTTTTAAAACTTTTCTAGTTTTAAACACTTGCCTCCTAAATCCCTAACTTACTGCCAAATAACTCACTATTGGATTGTGAATAAAAATAAGGTATAATGAGGAATTTAAAAAATGACTTCATGTTCATGTTTTTAAAATAATTCAATCTAAAAGATACTTTTAATTCTTCTCTTCTTTCCACTAACCCACATGTAAAGAAACATCTGAAACAATGAATTTATCAAAATGCCCTAATATTTATCTCTAAGTAATAATTTAAATTAAAACAAATCCTTTACTGATTTCAACTCTTTAAGTCTGCACATAGAAGCAGACAAAAAAGGCCAATTCAAGGCAAATTTGAAAATACTCTTTCAATTCCCAGCTATGTCAGAAAAAATGGTAAGGAATGAATAAGAAAAGAGCTGCCTCCACTCTCCACTTCACTGCACATGAAGACAAACATGTTTGAAAGTAACTGAAATGTTATTTTAATTTGTTCTCAATTTCTTATTTAATTTTTAAGTCTTTTGACAAAAAATCAATTTTTCAAAGTTCTAAAACAGGACTTATGCAATATTAATTTACAAAAATGTACAATAATCATCTGAATTTCCCTATTCAAAAGGAATAAAGAGCAAGATAGCATTCATCGGTCATCCCCTCCCACCTCCCCAAATTCCAATAATTTATCCATTAATACCTGACTATTGTACTGAACAGATTCTACTCTGAGAAGAGCTGGTATGTTGATTATCTTCTTCCGGATACTTCACTATTTCTGCCCTGACAATATGCTGTCAATTCCATACAATATAAACAAGATGAAGGAGAAAGAATAAAAAAGAGAGAGAGAGAGAGGGAGAGAGAGAGAGAGAGAGAGAATGAAAAGTATGTTCAATGACTGAAAACAGAAGGGAACACCAAAGTAGAAAAAGAAGATTAACATATAAATTTAAACATGTCACAAAAGAAACAGCAGAAGCATGCAAACAAAAAACAATAGGAACAGAGACCCAATAAACAATACTCTTTATAATTCTATTTAAATATTGAAATAGATATGTACATTGAACTTCCCAGACATGTAAGTTCTATTTTTACCCCACAATCATATATAACATATATAACGCCCAGTATATCAGAGGACTGTGAAGACTCGTTGGGCTTTTCTACACTAAAGTACAGTAAGAGAATTAATTCCATTTCCTTTGACGCACATTGCTGAGGATCTTATGTGCCAGTTACTCTCTGCTGGGAACACAGGGATAAATTACACAACTATTTGTCATACAACCCAATGCTTTGCTAGTGGACCTATGCTGTAAGAACACAAAGGGAGGAGTAATTAAGCATCTTTCAATGCAGGGCACGGAATGAAGAAATTAGAGGCGATTTTTACATTTAATAATATTTGTTACTTGTCCAAAATTTCCTTTTGAAATTACTCCTCCACCCCTCCTAACTCTGACCTTTGTGCTTCCAAACTGATGTTCAAAAATAACAATTGTGAGACATGTAAAAAAATATATAGAATATGTATTGTCTTCACAAATAGCAGCCCATATTAAGATGCTATAGCTATTGTTTTCAAACATCTAAGAGTTTTGCTAAGTAAAAATAATAAACTACACTATAATGTTTTTTAACTGCTTCAGCCCTTAGGATGAAACAACATGCATGACAGAGATAACAAGCTCCCCATTATTTTTAGACTTGAAGCTATCCTTGCTTTTCTGTATGACCACAATATTTTATTTCAGAAAATCTTTCCTTTGCACTAGAATCTATAAATATATTAACACAAACAGAAACGAATCTTGATATGGGCTGCTGTTTGTGAAGACACGTATGAATAAAGATCAGGTGAACAATTGAGAGTAAATTAATAGGATGCTAAGGCATATGTATGTATGCATTACCTTAGGTCAGTTCTGCTTAAGTTCTCTAGCAAACAGTATTAACTTCTGGACAAGATTCATGATTTACTAGGTACTCAACTATGGATAGAAGCACTCCTAACCACCAGATGAGGGCTAAGGAGGGGTCCTCAGTGAACTGTTGAGCACCACCACCTGGCCTCCCTAAACCTGACTGCTGAATGTCAAACTATGAATTACAGTGAAGAAAAGGGAATTTCTAATCAGTAAGCAACTCATCAATCCAACAAATGTTGATTTATGCCTATCCTATAAACAACCAGCTTACTGAACTATGCTGCAGACATTTTGATCAGAGTACTTGACTAACATAAATGACTTTGGTTTTCCTCATCCATCTTATAAAATTAAAGAAGAATTAACAAGGCAAGGCAGCATCTTTCTTAGGGGTCTTGACTCGATGACAAAAATCTTTGTATGATGTTTCTACACTGTAAGCCATAATGAAGGCTACGGATTCAAAACTTAGCTTTCTATGATTAGAAAAATTAATTTCTGTGTCATAAACTTCATGGGTAGGTGGTTTCACAGCAGCTGGCTTGTTTATAAGTCATTTATTGATTTTTTTCTCAGAGAAAATATGGTCTACAAAACACTGACCTTTATTTTTAGAGTCAGAAAGTACACTTTAATTATTCTCAGCTATTGGCCAATGGAGTAAAAATAATGAAGTGGCTTTAGGAGGAAAGGAGCCTTGTGGGTGATCAGGAGCTTACTTAACTCTGACCTTCAAAGAGCATTTGCAAGTGGATACTGGAAAGGGAAGTGGTAGAGATCCAGAGCCTACACAAGAAGCAGCCTAGGGCTGGGCTAAAAGGTGAAAAGATGATAGATGGATTCATAGGAAGGCATTAAAGATAAATTTAGTTAACTGTATAATTGTGCCTTAATCTAGATAGTATCTACCTCAGTAAAAGACATGGTTTGTCATACCCAGAATATGGAGCAATATTTATTACAATCGCTATTCTAGGTATTGTGAACATTTAGATAAATAGTGTGTGATCTCTGTTTTGGAGATGTGTAAGACTAGGAAAAAAAACAGATGTGTAAACTATCAAAGAGTAATCTGGTTGATATACAAAGTATAGCAAGATTACAGATTATCATATGCAGCATGGACACAGCATGTTAATAGCATAGTACTTTGCACAGAATATAAACTAAAATAAAAGTTACTATTGTTCTTCTGTGTAATGGGCCATTATATGCTACCAGTAACATTCATAACTTTGGGTAAGTTATTTCATCTCTTTAGTCTTCACAAACAACTAATTCATAAAACACAAAGTTTATCCATGTGGTGTCTAAAATCCCAGATAGTCTTGAAATTTTATTTAAAAATAAATTTAAAAGGTGAATAGGAAAAAGAAAAATAGGATATGATGGGGAAATCCATTAAGCAAAGTTCAACACAGGGGTATGTACAAAATGAGTAACTGTGTTCTTTAAGGAAGACAAGTGGTACTTAGAAAAGGGATTTCTGGTACAGTCCTCAAAAACACTGGAGAAAATGATAAAAAGATTAACATTTGGATAAGAAGGATCGAAGTTCTCCCAGGGCTACTTAAAGAAGGTTGATATTCAGGTAAGTGAAAAAGCAGGAAAGTCTTAGGACCAGGCCTTCAATGGGCATTAGTGTTACACAGCTACTCGCGAAGATGTTAATGAAGACTCAACTGAAATCTAGAGCATGCTTATCACATGCTAGGTCCTATGTAGACACTGTCATATACAGTATGAAAATGATCTGAGGAGACATCAATGTACCAGACATTACAGAAATTTTTAAGAAACTAATGCATACCTAATTAAACAAATTCTTAGTTTATTAACTGACAAGAAAAATGCCAAGGCTAACAATGTATTTACAACCCTTAACAAAAGCATATATGGCAAAACTTCTATGCAATTAAGATTTAAAAAAAAAAGATTGTGCATTCATCACAGGTTATCCAGTGAATTATTAAAAAGCTAAACACTGGACTTTCTGGAGAACAGCAATTAGAAATTTATTTTTCCCCTGAAGCTCTATTTTTCAAACAGAAACATAGGAACAATCTGAGAAACCAGAACACCTGTTAACAACAATCCCAATTTTCACACTATCTTAGAGGGAAATATTTGTGGGAGGAGAAATATTGATAAATAATGCAAATAAAATTATTAACTAAGTTAGGGATTGTGAGAAATGCATCTATAACGTATCTAATTGTTTAAATGTTTTCCTGCTCCATTTATCCTGAAGCTCCTTGAAGATAGGCACTTTACCTTATTCATCTCTGTTCACAGATTTTAGTATGCTCCCTGGCAATGAACAGACTCTCAAAATGTTTGCTGCATTAATAAATCGCATTCATTTTCCTTTCTTCCTTTCCCTGTTTTGTTACAAAACTTATAAAATGTGTTGATAACCTGACTTTATGATTCCCACACAGAAGCAACCTGGGTTAGAACTAAAATATCAAAATCCCTTTAAATAACCAGTGAATGAAACTAATACGGAAACCTCTTTATAAATGTTTATGTCAGAAATTAAATTATTACTACAGCATCAATTCCCATGTTACATTAATTTTCTGACATTAATTTTCTCCTCAAAATAATATAAAATACTCTCAAACATTACCTTGAATCCCCTCAGGAAATGTTTCAAATATGGAAAACCTGCAGAATTTTTTCCCCTCCCCCCCCCCCACAAACAGGACTTCTTTCTTTCTTTCTTTCTTTCTTTCTTTCTCTTGTTTTCTCTCTCTTTTGAGATGGGGGTTCACTCTGTTGCCCAGACTGGTCTTGAACTGTGAAATCCTGGGCTCAAGCAATCCTGAGTGCTAGGACTATAGACACATGTCACCAGACCCAGCTAAAACTTCTTATTCCTTTAAGCGAACTTTCAAAATTATTTCACTGAAAAATATCAATTGTGAAATTAATAATTGAATTGGCACCTCTACCAATTCATCAGGTTTAGGGAGGGATAATGAGTCTTCCCACTATACATAAAGAATTCTGAGACATGATAGATAGAGGAGGGCTCAGTATCTTACATTTATCTTCACATTCATGAATTAAAATCAAGCTCCACCAATAAACTGAAGACAGAATGAAATCTCAAAGCACAGTAAACAAGGGGCAGTGTGCAGGGAGGGAGGGTAGAGGGTTGTTTAGTTAACATGTCCAACATCTCTTTAGTTTAAATATGCCTAGGTGTTAAACACTCCTCTAAATCAAGAGTAACTGGATGCCCTTGTGGCAAGAGGGAACTAAGAAAAGTAAAGTTTTCTGGAAATTTTGCCTTTTAAAATTTTTCCAGTTCCTCCTCTTTGGGGGGGGTGTCTTCCTGCAACCTGAACACCCACACAGCTCAGGCCAAATGCAAGAGTTCTTCCTTAGTGCAGCTCATACCCCTGTGAAAGATCAGCATGTTTTTCATCCTAAGTACAGCCACCAATCACTGGAGGACCTTGTCTCCACTCCTCTAGGCAAGCAATCTTAGAGTTATATTGGACTTCTGGTTCTCTCTCTTATCGAATCATTCCACACACCCTACAAATTCTTCTTGGCTCTGCTTTGACTCTTGTCTTTATCCCAAAATAGCAGTAACCCAGTCTCCTTACCTCAATCCCCTTCCTATCCAACCACACACAAAAATACCCCAATAAATTAATTCTATATCAAAATTGCTTTATTTCCCTACATAAAAATTATTTCCCTCTTGCTATAGATAACGTTCATCAATATGGCATTCACAAATTCCTATGATATTTTCTCAAACTCCCTTTATACTCCAATACAAATGGTCACTTATTTTAATCAAACTGCTCTTTTGTTTCCTAAATATGATCTAAGCTTCTCTACCCAGGTACATTGTTCATGTCAGCTCATTTTCAGCCCTTTTCTTCCTCTGCATTCAAAACTGCTCTATACACCTTCCCCCAACATGGTAGAGTAGTGACAGCAGAGGAACTTGTGTCAGACAGACTGTGTTCAAATCACAGCCTCACCACTCCCTACCCATGGTTTAGTGATCATGTTACTTAGCTTATTCACAGAAACAGTGTCCTGGCCATAAAATAATGAAATGCCACTTGTCCCAGAGAGTTATTCTGAAGAATAAATGAGATAGTTTAGTATCTGGCATAAAATATACTAATTTTCTTTACTAGAGACAGAAACTACAATTTTAAACTCCTTTAACTCTTACATCCACCATGATATTGTGTATATAATACATGATCAATAAATCATTGACTGTTTGATAATTATCCACAGACTCCAATTAACCAGCAATAAACATCATTTAGAAAAAGAAGGGGAAAAGCAGAAAACCAAAGGATCTCTGAGGTCTACAGGGTCTGTGTGATCAAACAAATCATGTTGACTCTTCTTTCTTGTATTCTCCCAAACCAAAACCAAGAAACTATTTTTTATGTGCTTGGGACCTGTTTACACAGCATAAAATATCTTACCTTTGTATCTGGCCATGGAAAGTGCTAAAATAAACATCTTTAAATCATGAGAATTAAAAGTAGCAAATTTCCAAGTTCCAACTTTTAATTGAGTCCTAGACATAACCACCTCCTCCATGTAAAACTTTTCAATTGATAGTTGCTCTAATTATTTACACACACACACACACACACACACACACACACACAGTAGCCACAAGAATGTGACACAGAAATAACTTTAAAAGGAAGAAAAACTTAGGGATGGGAAAAGATAATTATACCTTTTTAGCTGTACAGCAAAGTAAGAAAGGTGGAGAATATTGAGGGGAAATGTTGTTAGTTTGTTGCTTCTAACCAAACCACTTATGAAATTTAACTGCAGACTGCTACTCTAATTTTTCATTCTATCAAACATGAGACTTAAGTGCAATCACAATGGCATTGTCAAGTTCTTGACTGCTGGTATTCATTTGTTTTAAGTCTAAGGCGACTATGGAGGAATAGTGAAAGAACACAGAAATTCTCAATAACCAATAACACTATTAAACTGACAAGATAATATCAAGAACTAATATTATAGTGGAGAGTGTTTTAAAGATGAACAGATTAGCCCTTGAAAGAACTTAAATGAAGAAATACAAAACAATATGGTCAGAATTTTAACCCATCAATTAGCCACTGATAAAATTTTCATTAATCTTTTTCCTTCCACCAAAAGGGACAAAATGAAGTTTCAAGATCATGATAATTTGGTACAAAGTTAATATCCTTCATCTTCTGCAATTAACACTGATTCATACACATAATCTAAGGTTTTACAGGATATGTACATAGAATGCATGAATGAGATTCATAGACAAAAACTAATGATTTGTTAAAAATTCATTATTTTTTTAAAATATACAGTTCAAGATAATCACCTGTGACTGTTCTATTTCTGCTTTGTTTAATTTTATCCCAAGGATTTCAGCAGCAACTTTTTGGAAGCACAGGAAGACCTACATAACAAAAATAGGTTCACATGATTTAAAATAGTCATACTTAAAGTTACCTTCAAATAAGCTAAATTTTCTAAAAATCGATAAACAGGAAGAATTGCAAAAATATGATGCAGCATGTGATTCCTAAAAAAACTTTATTGATCATGTGTAACAACTTATCATTTTTCAAATCATTAAACCATAGTTTGAAAGTCCATGAAATTCAATGAATTAGTCTAAATTTGTATTTATCCCAAAAGCATATGTTTGTAAATATTTAACATGACAAGTATAACCCACCACATTAAAACACACACCTACTAGCATAACAAACTACCATAATTCCTAAAAGAAAATAAAAATAAATTAATCTATAACTTAATGCTCTGGTTTGTCACTGTCAGCTCTATTTTGGTCCACTGAGCTCACTCTAGTCTATCTTAAAAGGTTTTTCTTTTCAACTTGTTAATAATCTTTCTGGTTTTCCTATCAATTTCAACAAACTCTCTCTGTCTCTTCAGTAAAACAGCTTGCTACTCTTTACTGTATTTTATCAGTTCAGAATACAGGAACAATATACTCCATTACTATTATACTTAAACAGAAATCTACAGAAGCTTTTCTATAAATAGTCTCTCATACATAGTCAGCTTACAGCAGGGCCACTATGATTCTCAGAACTTCCATCCTGACATTTATTGCACTATAACTTATCTTTACCTCAAAAGTGTCCTGCCATATGCCTAGCCCTCCAAATCTCATGATTACTCACTGAATATTTACTATAACTTTAATAACTGTAATTTCTAATAAAAAAGAGATACATACCTTTGAGAGGCTTATGCAATTTTACTCCAAAAAGCATGTTTTAGTTCACTGATGGCCAATGTTAAAGGAACAACAGAAAAGCTAATGTGGTATAACAGAGAGAAAAAGAGCGATCATAAGAGAAAATGAGCAAAGAGATGAAAGAGGTACAAATCATGTAGGATCTTGTGGGCTAAGGAAAAAATTGGCATTTACTTGGAACACAAATGAAAGCCATGGGAGAATAGCCTGACCAGACTTTTATTTTAGTAGGACCCGTCCAGTTGGTGTGTTGAGCATTCATTACAGAATCACAAGTGAACAACAAGAAAAATCAACAAGGAGATTAATGTAAGAGATTATGGAAACTAAACCAAAGTAGTAGCAGTGGAGTTGGTAAGAAACCAACTCCATCAGGATCTGAATTTATCATTAAAGTAGAACCAAAAGGAATTGGTGATGGATAGATGTGGGTTGTGAGAGAAAGGAGAGTCAAGTATGACCAAAATTTTCTAGGTCTGAGCAACTGGAAGGATAGGATATGCCATTTTTGAAGTGGGGAAGACTGAGATTTGAGAAGAGAATATCAAGAGGTCAATTCTGCATGTGTTTAAACTGTTAAACATCTCAGTGGTGATGTCAAGGGGGCAGGTGAGTCTAGGCAAAGCCATGAAACTAAATCAGGTGCTAATGGAGTAAGTTTAGAAAATGAGACACCCAAGAACTGAGCCCTACAGCACTCTAATATTTACAGGTTCCAGAAACAAGATGAGAGACTACTTAAGTAGAATGAAATCAGGAGGCATAGAATCCTGGAAGCTAGATGAAGAATCTATTTCAAAGAAGGGAGAGTAATCAACTATTTTATATGCAATTACTAAGTAATAAAGATGGAGATGAAGAAATGACCACTGGATTAAGCAAAAAAGAGGTTGCTGGTGAACTCTGGCCATAGCAGTTTGGGTAGGGGCAAAAGTTTGCTGGAACAAAAACTGAAAGGAGAGGAACTGGAGATAACTCTATCAAGGCCTTCTGCAAGAAAGTGAGGAAAGAAACAAAGTAATAGCAAGAGAGAGATGTGGAATTGAGAGTCTTCTTATTTTTAAGATAAGTCATAATATCCTGTATGCTGACATTATAATCCAGTACATGGAAAAAAAGACAATGCTGGAAAAAGTGAACTGCTATATCATAGATAAGGTAGAGGGAAATGGGACTACTGAAGTACATAATGGAGGGTTACCTTCCTAGGAGCACAGATCCCACAGTGACCATGGGGAAGAGGTTTGGGAACAGATGTGCAGGAGAGAGCAGAGGGATTACTACAGATGTGGTAATGTGAGTATGTGAAAGTTGTCTTCTCTTTGTTTCAATTTCTTAGAAAATAGGAAACAGGGTCACCAGTAGAGAGAGTGAGAATGTTTTAGACATCTGAAGAGAGAAGAAAAGCTATGAAATAGTCATCTAGATATCTAGATAAGAGGGTGAGATGATAGAGTAGGAACACATGGCACAATCACCAAGCCCATTAAGGGCCCACTTGAGGTTCGTCATTGTAAATTTGAAGTGAAACGTCTGGCATGCCTCTGTATTTTTTTTGCGGTCACATGCCTTGCTGCAGTCACAGGAAAGTGGAGGCTTGGTTTAAAGCAGAATTAATATTCGGCCAAGTGAGTATGACAATATGAATGAGGGGAAAAGGAACTGAGGGAATATGTACAGTAATGGTTTGGATTGGCCATGAGATTTTAGTTAGTAGGAGGCAAAAATGAGGACATAAAAAGAGACTAGGGGAAAAAAAATTTAACAAGTTGGTTAGGGATTTTAAAAAGGCATTAGAATCAATGTCTTAAAGGTCTTGGTTAGGTTAAAATAAACTATTCAGTGTTATGGTTTAGATCTAAGGTATCCCCCAAAACTCATGTGTGAAACAACGCAGGAAAGTTTAGAGGTGAAATGATTGAGAGCCTTAACCTAATCAGTACATTAATCCAGTTGAATGGATTAACTGGGTGGTAACTATAGGCAGGTAGGGTATGGCTGAGGAGGTAGGTCCTTGGGGGTGTGCCTTTGGAGTATATATTTTGACTCATGAACAGAAAAGTCTCTGCTTCCTGGCATCTTGTCCTGAACTACTTTACTCTGCCATGATATTCTGCCTCATCTTGGACCCAGAGCAATGGAGCTGGCCCTCTATTAACTGAGACCTCTAAAACAGGAAGCACCAAAATAAACTTTTTCTCCTTTAATTGTTTCTTGTGAAGTCTTTTGGTCAAGCAGCAAAAAAAAAAAAAAAAAAAAGCCGACTAAAACACTGGGTGGGTTGGGAAATTTAGGCTGTGAGCTGGAAAGACAGAGTAGGGTGGTAGTCAGTGATTACTGATACTGAGAAGGACTGCAATAATTTTTAATGACACTCTCAGGAATGAGCGGCTTCAGTGTGGTGGAAGACAAATAAAGAAGTTGAAATCACTAACAGTTATGACAGAGATAGTATCAGAGAAAGTACTGTAATCTCAACAAAATCAAGGAGGGAAAGTAACCTGGAGCTAGAGACAACAAAAAGTATTAAACTGATTCCACAAGAACAAACCATTTCAAAGATGTATTTATAAAGAAAACATTGAGCATTTCAACATAAGTACATAAAATACCAAGCTAATCACAAGCTAAAATATTGGAAGTTAAAATCATCCTAAAATGACAAAAGACCCATAGGAAGATTTAAGGGCAGAAGCTCAGTGAATTCATAGACACGTTTATCAAGTACTAAAACCATGCTTTAAATGGCACATGGAGCATGTGCCCATGTTCATGTAATCCTGGAAGAAAGAGTTCCAAGAGACCAAATTAAGTGGCTCTAACCCCTGCAAAATGAAGTACCCTTTATACTATTTAATGTTTATCTTAGTCATGAAAACTATAAAGGGTATCATACTAGAAAAATAGCAAAGATTAAATCACAGAAAAATTTCAAACTTCTTTTGGATGAAATTGTCAAGAAAAAAAGCAGTCATGCACAAGGCCCTGGGTTTAATCCCCAGCACCAAAAGGGAAAAAAAAAATAACAAATTAAACCCTGAATAGCAGTGAGCATTTACCAAAAAAAAAAAAAAAAAAAAAAAAAATAACAAATGATTGTTATTTTTAATATAAAAATGGTCATAGGAATTTTTTTTAAAACCAAATAAGAGATCCAGAATAGCTAAAGCAATTCTAAGCAGGAAGAGTGAAACAGGTGGTATTGCTATACCAGATCTTAAACTATACTACAGAGCAATAGTAACAAAAACAGCATGGTACTGGCACCAAAACAGGCTGGTAGACCAATGGTACAGAATAGAGGACACAGAGACCAACCCACAAAATTACAACTACCTATGTTAGACAAAGGTGCTAAAAGCATGTACTGAAGAAAGGATAGCATCTTCAACAAATGGTGCTGGGGGAACTGGAAATCCATATGCAACAAAATGAAATTGAATCCCTTTCTCTCAGCATGCACAAAAGTTAACTCAAAATGGATCAAGGATCTAGGAATCAAACCAGAGACTCTGCATCTAATAGAAGAAAAAGTTGACCCTCATCTCCATCATGTGGGGTCAGGCCCCAAATTCCTTAATAAGACACCTATAGCACAAGAGTTAAAATCAAGAATCAACAAATGGGACTTACTCAAACTAAAAAGTTTTTTTCTCAGCAAGAAAAATAATATGTGAGGTGAATAGAGAGCCTACATCCTGGGAACAAATTTTTACCCCTCACACATGAGATAGAGCTCTAATCTCTAGAGTATACAAAGAACTCAAAAAGTTAAACAACAAAAAACCAAATAACCCAATCAACAAATGGGCCAAGGACCTGAACAGACACTTCTCAAAAGAGGATATACAATCTATCAAAAAAAATACACGAAAAAAATGCTCACCATCTCTAGCAATCAGAGAAATGCAAATTAAAACTACTCTAAGATACCATCTCAGTCCAGTAAGAATGGCAGCCATTATGAAGTCAAACAACAAGTGCTGGTGAGGATGCGGGAAAAAGGTACACTCATACATTGCTGATGGGACTGCAAATTGGTGCAGCCAATTTGGAAAGCAGTATGGAGATTCCTTGGAAAGCTGGGAATGGAACCATTTGACCCAGCTATTCCCCTTCTTGAACTATACCCAAAAGACCTAAAAACAGCATACTACAGGGACACAGCCACATCAATGTTTACAGCAGCACAATTCACAATAGCTAGACTGTGGAACCAACCTAGATGCCCTTCAATAGATGAATGGATAAAAAAAAATGTGGCATTTATACACAATGGGCATTTATACACAATGAATATTACACAGCACTAAAAAATAACAAGATCATGGCATTTGCAGGGAAATGGATGGCATTAGAGCAGATTATGCTAAGTGAAGTTAACCAATGCCTAAAAAACAAAAGCCGAATGTCTTCTCTGATATAAGGGGGGTGACTCAAAATGGGGTAGGGAGGAAGAGCATGAGAAGAAGATTACCACTAAATAGGGAAGAGAAGTGGGAGAGAAAAGGAGGGAGAAGGGGAATTGCACGGAAGATGGAAGGAGACCCTCATCATTATACAGAATGCATTTATGACGATGTGAGGGAAAAAAAAAGAAGTGTGTCACATTAGATTGGATAGAGAGATGTGATGGGAGGCAAGGGGAGGGGACAGGGGGATAGGAAGGACAGCAGAATAAAACAGACATTATTATTGCTGTATGTATATATGTGACTATATGACCAATGTGATTCTGCAACCTGTACACTCAGAAAAATGAGAAATTATACCCCATCTGATTGAAATGTATGATATGTCAAGATCATTGCACTGTCATGTGTAACAAATTAAAACAAATTTTAAAAACTTAAAAAAAGAAAATTATAACTGATAATAACAGAAAATGAATAGTTAATGAAATTTTCAAAGATTCAATTTCAATTTCAAGAAAATTCAAATTTCAATGGTGAAGTATTTTTTTTCTTTTCTTTTTCTTTCTTTTTTTTTTTGCCTGCCACATTGATAAAGACTTTAAAATAAATAAATTCTCAATGTTAAAAAGGGTGTAGTAGTATATAATCATACAATGCTGATGACTATAATTTAGCCTTTCTGGTAGTAATTTACAATATTTCAATCCCTTATCAAAGACTCCATCTGAAGAAAAAAATCAAAACATCAAAATCTTATGGACAAAATTTTACATTAGAACAGTATGTTCAAAACTTAGAAACATAACAACATAAACATGGTTAAATGTATTCTAAAACATTTACCTAATGGATTATTAAATCTGATAATATTAAATGATATGGGGAAGTTTTCTTCAGATAAAAACAGTAAATAAAATTTTAAAAAGTATTTCTATATTGTATCTTAACACTTCAATATTTACTGTGGGTTGGAGAGGGGCCCTGGAACATCACTACTTAGTCACAGTCCTACCTCCACTAATTATCAGCTTGGTAACCTGGGCCTTCTTACATGCCCTCTCATAAGATTTACCTTTGAAATGGAGATAATCAAGGTAGTACAACACCTGTCACAGAGTAAGTACTCAATAAGTGAAAACTGCTAGCAGTATCAGTACTAGTGCTTATGAATAATAAAAAATGAAGACTAAAAGGAATCACATGAAATAAAGAACAGTCACCTCTGGATGTGGGGATTATGGGTGATTTATATTCTTTTAATTCTTTGAATTTTAATATTCCTTAAAATAATAAAATAATACTAAATTAGTTATAAAAATAAGATAATCAGAATAAGCATGTTATCTTTTTTATGCCTTCAATAGGAATTAATTTGTTTCAAAATTAAGAAATAGAAGATTACTGCCCAGGAATACTAGTAAATAAAAGTGAAACATTACTTATAATACACAGTATTCATTATTTTACTTACAGAGTCTCCTGTCTTGGCTGAGACAAAGTGGCTACTAAAACCATTTTCCTGGCAAAACCGTAAATGTTTCTCAGGTTTTACTGTTCGCATATGCTCCAAATCAACTAGAAAAGTGTTAAAGAGAGGGAAAAAAAATGCACTATGAGAGTCAATCAAAACATTTTTTACATGTTTAAATTTGACTAACTTTGCAATATTATACCCTAGCATAGACACTAGCTGTATAATGCTAGGCAACTTATTTAATTTCTTTATGCTTCAGTTTCTATATTAATAAACTTGAAATGATAAATTTATTTCTTTAATATGGAGTTCTTTCAGAATTAGTTCATGTAGAGCCCACAATGACTGGCACATATGGGCTTTTAAAAAAAAAGTTGAGCTGTCATATTATTATCTATATAAATTAAACACACTGGTGAGGCTCAAAAAAAATCTACTTGACATAATGCATTTCAACATTGTGATTAACTGAAAGTAAGACATATTTACCCAAACATATTTATTTTGAAACAGTTTACTTTAATAATTAGAACAGTTTGTAATCTTTATAAACTTTAATAACACAAATACACAGTATTCTGCCAAAAGAGATCAATATTACATTACATATTTATATTAACTTATTTACAGCCATGGTTTAATTTCACAAAGACACATTCAACTCTTTTTCCATTTCTAAAGTGTCCACTTGGGGAGTTATGGCTAAGGATATGTCCCTTTGAATAGCTGAAAGTACTTCAAAGTACAGCACAGACCTCATATCCAATACTGGTTTTTTATCCAGCACTCTATTTTTTCAAATGTGATTCTTTATTGAACAGTTTCTCCTTTTACAACGCTACAGACCCTATAAGGGTGTTGACTCAATGCTGTCAAATTATAAGGCAAATATATTCACAGGACTTAAGGACAACTAGGCTCTTTGAGTCAATAGAGGAAAAAAAAATTTAAACCTATTTCCTGAGGAAGGGACCCAACTGACTTGTAAAAACTTGTAAATTTGCAAATCTAGAAAGCCTACATAATAGTGGCAATTGATTGTCAACTAAAAAATGTTCTCATGCTTCATAAAAGGCTTTATTTAAAAATATATCGAAGGTTCTTAGTTTGTAGGCTCAAGGGATTTTTCTCCAGGAGATTTCTGATGTAGTGGGGGATTCCTGAGATCATTTATATTGCTTACCTTGGAAAATAGAGAGTTCTTTTTTTTCTTCTTCTTCTTTTTTAGACAAGTTGCTATTCCTTAAACATCACTGAGACCTTATTTACAAAAACCAGGTCAAAAAATGTCCAGATGCCACAAGCACCAATTTGTGGAAGACTAAAATACTAAGCTATTAGCACTGATGTTTATACATCTAGTTCATCATAATATTGAAACTAAAATACTTTCCTAATTCAATAAGAATGAATTCTGTCTCTAGAAAAAAAAAATCCCCAATGAAATTTATATCCAATTAAAAAAACATGAAGTTGTGTCATTGAAAGTCTATTTGAATTTGTGTTTTCTAATGAAACAGTCTGTCATTGTCTTTCTTCCTTTTAATCTTCACTCCTTCTTCCCATCTCGCCATCTACCATATAAATTATAACTGAGCAATTTACTATCCAAACAAAAATTTTTCCCAATAAAGGTAACCATGAAGAGAGTACTATATCACTGGTCAATAAAAAAAAATATTTTATTTAATGAGCACTTATTGAGCACCTGTTATATTCCAGGTACCATGTTAGGCAGGCAATGGAAGGAAATTACTGTTTCTGCTGTGGGAGGGGTTTTGTAGCTATGTAAATCCAGCATAAAAATATACAGTCCAGTCTCTGAAAAAGCCACTACAAATACTGTGAGCATAAAAGGCCCTTAAAAATTATAAAAATTATTTTAATTAGCTGAGATTCTCAAAAATGAGATAACAGGTACAAAAGGCTCTCAAGAGCACTTCCCTACAAAGCTCTTCTCTGATGTGTTAGAATTTAGTAGGCAGCATTTAAGAGGGCTTGGTTACTAGACTATTTGGCTTGAATGCCACCCACAAAATCATATGTTAAACTTATTTACTAATGTGATAGTACTAAGAGGTAGGATCTTTAGAAGGTAATTAAGTCATGAGGGCTGTGACTTCGTTGGTAACATTAGAATTCTGATAAAAGGGCTTGAGGAAATGGGTTTGCCCTCTTCTACTCTTCTGCCATGTGAGGACACAGCATTCATCCCCTTTTGCTTTTCCACTTTCCACCAGAAAGGACAGAGCACTCAAGATGCCATCATGGAAACATAGATGGGGCTCTGATCAGACACTGGACATTCTAGCACCTTGATCTTGAACTTCTCAATCTCCAGAACAGTGAGAAATTTCTTTTGTTTAGAAATTACTTGGTTTCATGTATTTTGCTATGGCAATACTAACGGACGAAGACAATGGAACAATTCATTCTAAATGGAAAAAGATATAAAATATAATGATGGGGGCTGGGATTGTGACTCAGTGGTAGAATAATCGCTTAGCAATTATTCAATTGGGTTCAATCCTCAGCATCATAAAAATAAATAAATAAAATAAAGGTATTGTGTCAACTACAACTAAAAAATTATATAAATAAATAAACAAATAAAATATAATGGTGAAATTGCAGTGAGACACTGGGAAAATCTTTTTCTTCTATTTTTAAGAGCATCCTTAAAATTATTATCCAGTAAACTATCACAATGACTTTGTGTGAAGGATTAAACTAAAATGAAGCATATTTTCAACATGATTCATTCTTCATTAAAAATAATTTTTTATCTAGAAGGAATGGCTATTTTAGCTGGAATGAAAATAAATTTTTGAAAAGAAAGCACCACAACTTTATGAATGCCAAAAAAACATATGTGCTTCTAAAGACACTGTCCACTCAATGTAAAATGGTTAAGAGTACTGCTCATTTTTCCTCCCTGCCTTCCTCCAAGTCAAATTATGAAATTTCTATCCCAAGAATTCCCAACGACAATTTTTACCCATCACTATCATTTAGTCTTTTGTGAATTCTGTTAACAAAAGGCGGTGCTATTTTAGTATCACTACTTTTGAACAACAAGAATTTCCTGAAGAGTTAGGCAAGTCATAAAAGAAATGTTAACTGAGGACTCCACTTTGCTTAAACATGTAGACTTCCAAATATCATGGAAACCCCAGAAATTAACCTTATAAAATATAACCAAATGACCTTCAACAGTCAAGATTACTCAAAGGGAAAAGGACAGCCTCTTTAACAAATGTTGGTAAATTTTTGGCATTCTTTCATGAAAAAGAATGGAAGTTGGACTCTTACATCATGTGCAAAAATTAACTCAAAATGGATTAAAGACCTAACCAAAAAAACCCCAAAACTAAAACTCTTTGACTAAACAGAAGAAAGGTTTCAGGATATTGGAGTTAGAGATGATTTTTCAGAAGAAAAAAATAGACAAAGTGACTGAATTAAACTTTAAAATGTTTTTTGCATCAAAGCACACAACAGAGTAAAAAAAATCTAGAAAATGGGAGAAGATATTTGTAAATCATTACTGATAAGGGATTAATATCTAGAATATATTTTTAAAAGTCCTACAGCTCAACAACAAAAATCCAGTGACCCCATTTAAAAATAAGCAAAAGAATTATACAGACAGTTCTTCCAAAATGATCATCAGAAATGTAAGCTAAAACTACTAAGAGATATCACCTCAAACCAAGTAAAATAGCCACCCTGATATGCAAGGCTGGTTCAATATACGGAAATCAATAAATGTTATTCACCACATCAATAGACTTAAAGATGAGAACCATATGATCATCTCGATAGATGCAGAAAAAGCATTCGACAAAGTACAGCATCCCTTTATGTTCAAAACTCTAGAAAAACTAGGGATAACAGGAACATACCTCAATATTGTAAAAGCTATTTATGCTAAGCCTCAGGCTAGCATCATTCTGAACGGAGAAAAACTGAAGGCGTTCCCTCTAAAATCTGGAACAAGACAGGGATGTCCTCTCTCACCACTTCTGTTCAACATAGTTCTAGAAACACTGGCCAGAGCAATTAGACAGACGAAAGAAATTAAAGGCATAAAAATAGGAAAAGAAGAACTTAAATTATCACTATTTGCAGATGACATGATCCTATACCTAGCAGACCCAAAAGGGTCTACAAAGAAACTACTAGAAATAATAAATGAATTCAGCAAAGTGGCAGGATATAAAATCAACACACATAAATCAAAGGCATTTCTGTATATCAGCGACAAAACTTCTGAAATAGAAATGAGGAAAAACGCCCCATTCACAATATCCTCAAAAAAATTAAAATACTTGGGAATCAACCAAACAAAAGAGGTGAAAGACTTATACAATGAAAACTACAGAACCCTAAAGAGAGAAATAGAAGAAGATCTTAGAAGATGGAAAAATATTCCCTGTTCATGGATAGGCAGAACTAACATCATCAAAATGGCGATATTACCAAAAGTTCTCTATAGGTTTAATGCAATGCCAATCAAAATCCCAATGGCATTTCTTGTAGAAATAGATAAAGCAATCATGAAATTCATATGAAAAAAAAAAGACCAAGAATAGCAAAAAGAACTCTAAGCAGGAAGTGTGAATCAGGCGGTATAGCGATACCAGACTTCAAACAATACTACAGAGCAATAGTATAGCGATACCAGACTTCAAACAATACTACAATAGCAATAACAAAAACAGCATGGTACTGGTACCAAAACAGGTGGGTGGACCAATGGTACAGAATAGAGGACACAGAAACCAATCCACAATATTACAACTATCTTATATTTGATAAAGGGGCTAAAAGCGTGCAATGGAGGAAGGATAGCACCTTCAACAAATGGTGCTGGGAAAACTGGAAATCCATGTGCAACAAAATGAAACTGAATCCCTTTCTCTCGCCATGCACAAAAGTTAACTCAAAATGGATCAAGGAGCTTGATATCAAATCAGAGACACGGCGTCTGATAGAAGAAAAAGTTGGCTATGATCTACATACTGTGGGGTCGGGCTCCAAATTCCTCAATAGGACACCCATAGCACAAGAATTAATAACTAGAATCAACAAATGGGAC